AAAAAAAAAATCACTCACATTACTTCTGTTTTTATTCATGACATGTTTGTGTCTCTGCGTGGTGTAAACTGGTATAAACCTTCAGATGTTTGGGTAGGTTTCACACCTGTGCCCCAGTGATGGGAAAAACCTCAAAGGCAAAGCAAGTGACCCAAATACCAAGTGTTTAGTTGGAGACCAACAGAGAGAGAAAACGAGAGTATCAGACTCTCTGTCACTTCCAGTGCTCTGTGCACAGTTTTGCAAGCGCACAGACAAATGTGCCAAATGAAATACCATCTGTTTGCATATTGTATGACTGCAAAAACTAACAGCTGAAACAGGCAGCAAACTGACACTAACCCTACTCAGAAAATCACGGTTCATGTTGCACCAGACCAGGTGTGGGGTCTAACTGAGCATGCAGAGAAAGAACTGAGAGAAAAACTGGAAAGCAAGTGGACTCAATTTAGTATGGTGTTTCTGACCAGCTGCAGCTTTTATGCGTGACCCACTTACCTCTCTCTGTTGAACTTGAGGGAGTGGAGGATGGCTGGTCTCTTCTGTCTCAGGTTCCATAGGTGGACGCTGTCATCTGCCAAAGCGCTCACCAGCGCCCCCTGTCATAACAGAGGCATTGAGTTTCCTTTTTTGAAGGTGACAAAGGAAAAGCATTCACACAAACACGGGTAGCGTCATTAACTACATACTACTGAAGCTTCCACGAACACGTCTGCACATTTTGTCTGCGAGCATGACATGTATTAGTCAGACTGCATTCCCTAGAAACTCAGGGAACTGAGTTTAAATTAGGCAGCTTTCTCCCAGGTAACGATGATGATTCATAAGATGTATATGAGTGTATGTCTGTGTGTGTGTGTGTGTGGGAGGCACAAAAAAAATCATCTCGATCTCCCTAAGGGTTCGTTTGAGCTGCTGAGTCACAGCCACACAGAAGCTAACACACACAAGCACACATACCGGAAACACTAAGTATGAAATACTGCACTGGTCATCAGTGATAAAAATCTGAAAAGGTAGTCAAAAATGTTTTTGTCTGGCCTGTACAGTACTGTGCAAAAGTCTTGAGTCTTGAAAAAAACCCTCATAATTTCTAATTTCTTTAGCTTATTCTTTAAAAAATAGCTAGGATAACACAGTTAGTCAGGCATAAATAGTATTTTTTAATCAAAGAACCGTTGACATATCTCAGCATGCTGTGCAGTGATTTGAGAAAACTGGACAACAACAAGAAAAGTGCCGTAAAATTTTGAACCATCGTGCAATACCATATGATCTCAAACACACTGTCAATGCAGTAAAAGTATACCTTTATAGAAAAGACATCAGAGTCCAGACATCAACATTGTTGTAGCACTGTACAATGATTTTAACCGAGCTACTTTTGCACAGTATTGTAGCTTAAAATTATATAAGAGGTTTTCTGGTGCAGAATAATGTTTGGGTAAGTTGTGCTGTGACTGTGTTATTAAAAGGAACAAGCCAAAAAACAGTTAAACTGTCACAAGATGTAAAACAACTTCATGTTATATTGTTTTTTAAATCAATTCAGCACAATAAACTTTCAACGCATCAGTATAGTTCAAACACAAGCAGCCATATTGTTCTAAACTGGAAAAAGCTCAATTTTACCTGATAAGATCAACGACGTAACAAACAAGGTTGGAGAAAATCGTAGCATGGCTGTTGATTGCTAAATTTCAAGACTAAACAGCAGTTGTTTTAAATAGCAAAATCAGCCTAGAAGCTGCAATCAGTTATCAAGCGGGTACTAGAAGTAACCACAAGTAAAAATGGGAGTCATTTCTCTGTTTTTGTAACCTACCTCATTGATGAGAAACTGTAGCTGGATGACAGCCGCTCCACTCTCATGCTGACAGTAACACTCCACACCAGGACGCCCGAACCTGAAAGGCTCTCAGTCAAGGAACGTACAGTTCCAGCAAAGAGATCATCAAAGCAATAGCGCATGTTTCTGTTTGTGCAGAGAAAGCTGGTGTGTTCTGTGTCTGCATGAGAGAAGAAAAAAATGGCAAAAAAGAACAAGTGCCTCAGCATTTGAAAGCTCGAGGGTCACGACACCTGATTTAAATGTCATGACGTGTTCCTGGGTAATTGTTAGGAAGGAAAACGAAACATCCACAGTGACGTAAATTTTATGGTCTGGTAACAGAGATTCAGCCCATTCCTTCCCTCCAACAAAACTCTTTACAGTGCAAGACTTCCTCCTTACACACATTTCATTTAAAATATTAGCTCATTATGTACCCTACAGATAAAAATCACAGGGATCAGTTTCACTAAGGAGCATTTCATTTTAACCGTACGCTCTCAGTATGTATGCACTGCAAACGTAACTCAGGAAACAGTTAAGCCACTTACAGTAGACGACTGCAGTTCTGTAGAAATAGCAATAAATATACAGAATCAACACAAAACAGAGCTACAGTAAGGAACAGACACAGACAGATTGACAGCGAGAAAATGGAAATGTGGGGTCATGAATTCAAGTATAGAGAATATGAATCAGCAGAGAGGAGGTGGATATTATGTGACCAGCTGAGCAAATAAGAGCAGGAAGTAAAAAAAAAAAGAAGAAGAAGAAGAAAAAGGGCACATTTGGATATACTGTACACTGACAATTCTAACAACAGACGCAGAGAGAGAAAATAGACACAACGATGGAAGTTTTTTCCTTTCTTTAAAAAAAATAAATAAATAAAGGGGGAAACGAAAGGAAAGAGCACAAGTCTAGCAAAGAATAGCAAGTTTCCTTTCTCGAGGAGAGTGAGTGGGTGAGCTTACTGATTATTTTTATTCTTCCCATGAGTATCAGCACTAAGGCAGGGGGTGTCAATTTTCATATGGGGGCACATGAAGACACCGCACTCTGGGGATGACACTATCGCTCATCATTAATATGCGAGGGGAGGGAGTTGTGTGTTTTGGCATGTGGCCAGCTACAGTAAATTTCCTGAAGAGCTCGATATTTCTCTTGAATCTACATAGACACAAGAAGCAGGATGATTCAAAGGCAGAGAGAGAAGTGTTGGTTCAACAGTGGTAGCGGCAGCAACAACAAACAAGAAGAAGCTTATCTCACTTGAATGCAAACACCAATAATCAAGTCCCACTCAACACAGTGCGCCATGTGCCATAAGCCCTAAACATAGGTATATTTTATCAAAGTATTTTACAGGTGATCATAACACCTACGAAGCCTTCAACGCAGCTAGCATTCACCCAGCTATGTGAGGCTTTTCGTTTCCTCCACATTTATTCTTCTTTTGGCCTCAATACACAGGAAGGTATATATAAATACACGCACTACAGTATATATATATTTATCTGAACTCTATTCGTATTTTTGGTCATTTAGTTCTTTGTATTTAGTCATCTGTAGCTATGTTGACAACAAGGTGTTGTCTGATAGCATGGACAAGGCTATGCCTAAACCAGCTCGAGTCAGTATGTTTTATATTGATCTTATTATTATGTGTAAATCACAAAGTTCGCTCATAGCAAAGAATCCACAGAGAACTGCTGCATCATTAACCAT